TTTCTCTCTTCCGAAAGGTAAAGCCCCCGGACCTGATGGCTTCAATGTGGACTTCTTTTTATCATCTTGGGATATTGTTGGACCTTCAGTCACTTTAGCTATCAAGGACTTTTTCCAATCCGGCTCCTTGCTCAAGGAGACCAATGCTACCATTCTCACCTTGGTGCCCAAGGTCCCCAACGCCTCATCCATGAATGAATTCCGGCCGATTGCCTATTGTAACACGGTTTACAAATGTATTACCAAGATATTGGCCAATAGAATTGCTGCAGTGCTGCCTGCCATTATCAGTCCCACTCAGAACGCTTTTGTCAAGAAGCGGCAACTTGGGGACAACATTCTTCTTGCACAAGAACTCTTTGCGGGATTTCATCATGACCCGCACCTGCCAAAATGCGCCATTAAAGTTGACTTTCAAAAGGCATATGACACCGTTGACTGGATTTTCCTCCAGCGGACCTTGCAAGCCTTTGGGTTCCCCTGTATGACTATCGAGCTTATTATGCAGTGTGTGACGACCCCGAAATTCTCAGTTGCAATTAATGGAGCCCTCCACGGTTTCTTTCCTAGCGGCAGAGGATTACGTCAAGGGGACCCGATGTCTCCTTACCTCTTTACTTTGGTCATGGAAGTCTTCACCGGAATTCTAGTTACCCAATCTCGTATCCCGGGTTTCAAGTTTTTCTGGCGGTGTAAGACCACATCTCTCACCCATTTGTTTTTTGCTGATGATGTTCTGTTATTTTCGGAGGCAAACGACACTTCAACTGCCCTTCTTAAGAGTGGCCTGGATCTTTTCTCCCGGTGGTCGGGACTTAAGCCAAATGTCAACAAAAGCGAGATATTCTTCTCGGGTGGCTGTCCTACTCTCAGGAACCGTATTTTACACTCATTTGGCTTCATCGAAGGTACGCTTCCTTTCAGTCCCTATTTCTGCCTCCAGATTGGGTAAGAATGACTGTAACGCGTTAGTCAATGCTATCACGGCTAGAGCTCGCTCTTGGACTCAGAGATTCCTTTCGTTTGCGGGACGTCTTCAACTTATAAAATCTGTTCTCCATTCTGTTCAAGTCTACTGGGCCTCTATTTTCTGTCTTCCACGTTCTGTCCTTGCAAGAATCGAATTGATCCTTAGACAGTTCCTATGGAAGGGTCCAGACTTGGGGGTGGGGGGTGCCAAAGTCTCTTGGACTGATGTTTGCCTACCTAGGTCTGAAGGTGGACTTGGTATTCGTAGACTTATCGACTGTAACCGTGCAGCTATGCTTAAGCACATCTGGGTCCTTTTCACGGACAAGGAATCTTTATGGTACAAATGGATCCATTCCAATTTTCTCAAAACGAAGAACTTTTGGGTCGCCCCTAAACCTACGGTGTGCTCCTGGGCCTAGAAGAAAATCTTAGATCTCTGTTTCGAATTTCAGCAGCAATTCAAATGGAGAATTGGCAATAGAGGCAATAGAGAACACTCTGGTTCGACTTCTGACATGATAAAGGCCCACTCTATAAATTGTTCTCTAATAGAGACATATTCTGCTCTGGCATTGCAAGAACGGCCTCGGTTAGGGATTTCCTGTCCTCCGAATGGCACCTGTCTAACGTGATACAATCCTTCAATTCCTGGACTGAACATACCCCCCAGCCGGTGACGGAGTCGCCGGACCAACTTACTTGGCAAGGTCATCCTTCCGGAGTGTTCTCTATCTCCTCGGCCTGGGATTTAACTCGGAAAAAGGGACACCATGTTTACTGGGATTTATTCATTTGGGACTGCAGTTTTGCCCCGAGACATAGTTTTTTGCTATGGCTGATGACCCTCAACAGGCTTCCGACCCAGGTCCTCCTCCTTTCCTATCACAGAATCTCTGAAGGACTTTGTGCTTATTGCCAAGGTATGCCAGACTCTGTTGATCACCTGTTCTTTGGTTGCACTTATACGGGCTCTTTAGCGTCATTTTGGGCCGCCAAATTTAACCTCCCCTGGCACAACGGGTCTTGGCAACATCTTCTCCGCTGGGCGTCCACATCCATTGCTGGCAACAGCTTCCATCACCGCCTTGCTCGGTTTGCACTTGGAGCTCTATGCCACCTCATTTGGATAGAGCGTAACAACTTCCTATTTAGAAATGGGACCATTTTCCTGCCTGCGATGCGGAACCATCTTGTCAAAGCTGTTCGAGATAAGGCTCTTTCTCTCAAGCCTGTTGCAGATACTCCGTGCAATAGAAGAATCTAGGCCAGCTGGGACATCCCGACATCTATTTTTCTTAATGTTCTGTAGTTGTTGTTCCTTTGTGGCTCTTTAGTCCGCTTGTTAGAGGCTCGGCTCGTTCTTCTTGTCACCCGGGCCCCTGCAGCTTGTAGCGCCAGCTAGCTTTAGTCAGCCAGTACACCTTTGCAACTATCGCAACACCTGTGTTGCGTTAGGTACAAGGTTTTTGTGTACGGCTTTTCTGCTGTATCTTGTGAATTGAAAAGTATATAATCCTTTTGCCTTACCAAAAAAAAAAAATCAATAAAGAGAGTACCCACCACATGGCCTGGAGAATCCAAAGGCCTAACTCCGTTCAGCGTCTGTCTTTCCTTTTTTTTCTTTTCTTCTTTTTGGCCGCCATGCAAGTCTTGGTCTTCCTGGACGAAGATTCCTCTCTTTTCTTAGCTAGGAAGTATCGTGCATGCAAACTTGCCCGATAAATCAAACCAGTTTGAATATCAAGAAACGGTGAGACTCACATTCAGTCTCGTGGGACAAAAGAAAAACCGACCTAAGCTTTTCTACTTTCTTTCCGTGTCATGACCAGCTCTATGAGCGCACTTTTCGCGAAACGGGTCGATCCGATAATCTCCGCTATTTCTCGGAAAGCACTCTCGCTATCATCATTCCTCGTCGTACTACATCCAACTCGTTATGATGATGAAAGGGCATCGTGCTTAGCGATGTTCATTAGGTCTAGTTTATTGGGCCAGTAGGACCCCTCAGTGCATCCATTGCACCACCTTTCAGTCCTATAATCTTTCTCTTTTCAGTTCGACAATGGTCGGAAGAATCTCATCATCGTCCTAAGGAATCTTTCTTCTTGATTTTCGCTCTTGCTTAGTTACATTGCAATAATGCAGCGATCGCAGGAAGCTTCGGATCTTCCTTCCGTGGGCTGCAGCAGTGCCTTTTGGCCTCTCCTCAGTCTCGCTCGTGGTTTCATCAGACAGCATGCAGCTTGGAGCCGATCGAGTGTTATGGAAGACCTCATCGATCATTCTTTCAGGCCGAGCAACGCCGGTTCGGGGTTGGAAGGGCCTGAGCAGGTGGCGGCGTCGGTTCGGAGCGGACAGGACGGAGCGTTGATGCGGTTGCCCGTTGGGTCTCTCAAGTCTCTTCAACCGTGAGTACAACTCCTTCCGATTTCTTTTTAATATGTAATAAATTAGGAACAACTCCTAAAGAATTAGTGAGATCAACTTAGAACAGTTTCTTCTGGTTTTGCTTAGCAAAGAAGTAAGGGAGAGACTATTCTCACATTCCTGACACACACTCTTTGCTTTTATATTTTAGCAGGAATTTAATTAAAACCCTAAAGTAGAGCCATTTTTTTTTCAAAGAAAGGGGCTTCAAAGTTATAATGTTTCAAATAAAGACATGAAGTGACCGAGTTAATCTTAAATAAGGGTCTAATCTCGCTAGCCGGCCGGCATGTCACATGGTTGTTCTAGCCACCAGAGCAAGGGCACTTATGACCCAAAGAAATTATACGTAGTAATCTTTTGTTCTTTTTCTCTTTTTCTTGTTCGTATTCTGATAATTTAATCCAAAGCAACACAGGCAGAACAAAAGCGAGAAGCAAGATGGGGAAGAAATAAACAAAACCCAAAAAAAAATTTGGGACAAAAGTGCCCCTGCTCCAACAGCAAGAACAATCATGTGATGCACTGGCCGGTGACGATTTGGCCAGCCGGTGAGTGCTGGCACTCATTTGAGACTAACTGTCCTTTTTTGAGAAAATAGCTTAACTTCAGGTTCTTACATAAAAATTTCCTTATATTAAGCGATTAACCATGAAATATGTCCATTACTGACCTCCTTTATCCTTCCAAAAGTTACAGTATACCGAATTTAATGGGTGACCTTTATTAGCGACCCTGATCTTTTAGTTAGGTAAGTGTCACTTTATATTTTTTTCAATGTTTACCTCTCACATCCGTAAGTTATTAGGTGTTTTTTTGGTCAAACCATAAGTTATTAATTTACTTGTATTTAAAATGATAATGACAAAAATGAAATTCTTCAAACGATTAGTGAATCTTCAATTTAAGAGAATAACCATCAATAAAATCAATAACCGGTAATTTCTCCGTAAAGGCACCATGACGGCGTTATGAATGATCTCGGTGTTATTAGTGAATGAAGATGGTAATTCCTTCTTCAATCCGGTGATGGTGGTCATGAAGTAGGAATTCCTCAAATATGACAAGAACATTCCACCCGTTTTTTACTATCTAGGCTAAACTCGGCCTTTTCTTACTATGATACTCAGTTAGTAGTCATTTAGTTATGAAGTGGCAGATTTCCCATTTTAATTGAATTCGGCTTACAGCGGTGGCAATTCATATTGTGTTACCTTGTTCATCTCAATCCTTATTGTCATTTCATAATTGCCGAATTAGTTTAAAGTCGATTTAACATGGATAAACTGGTTTTTGCAAAAAGGGTCATGTAGTATTTGTTTTGAGTTAGTCATCCTCATGTTGTTCCAGATTCGGGTTTCTCCCTGTGAATTTGAGAAGTTTCTATGAATCGAGTCTAACTATCAACCAATGCCTTCAACCAGGATTTCTGTTTCTAGCTGTTGGTTAATCAATTATAGGTAGAGGGCACACGACCACCCTTTGTTCACATACCTTGCCTTCGTTGATCTTGAATGTCTGTTTAATTAATGGAAAACATCTTTTGATTCATACGTCTTGTTGGTTTTAAGTCCTAAGATCTACTCTATGTTGTCATACAGGGATGTGGTCTCAGGACTCGTCCATTTGCATCGCCTAGGAATAATTCATCGAGACTTAAAGCCTCAAAATGTCTTGATTACTAAGGAATTATATGCCAAGTTATCTGATATGGGCAGTAGTAAACCCCTCAGGGATACGTCTTCCTCAGGATATCATGTTGCTGGTGAGTGCTCTTGACAGCTTTACCTGGTCCCTAGATCTTCTTTGGATGTAAGGTTGGTCCATGCGGGTCTGAATCTGATAGGTGATACTAAAACCTTCAGCCATATAATTTCAGCTGTAAGAGCTGTCCTTTTTATTTTGAAAAAGACCTTATATCGAAAGTTGGATCACTCATGATTCTGGAGATTCAAACAGTTTCTCCTGCTCTCTTTTGATTTGCTGTTGGATTCATAATGCCACATCTGTATGTGACTAAGTGACGATAGCTCTATGACAAATGCGAATACCCAATGTCTATCGTCCAGATTGTGGCAGCTCAGGATTGCAAGCGCCTGAACAAATACGTAGTGCGCAACGAACATGCTCAGTCGATGAGTTTGGTCATAATCGTGTCTCGTTTTTTGGCATCACTGGCAGAAGACATCCATTTGGAGACAGTCTAAAGGGCGATAGTAATATCGAGGAGAATATAATGGATTTGTCCTCGGTGGAATTTATGCCAGAAGCCGCAGATATGTTCACTTGCTTACTACACCCTCATCCTCACCTGAGGTGAGAGTACCATGTAATGTGCATGATCTCTTTTTCTATCCTTCAATGGATTTTAGGCCAGTCATTTATTGACTCTCAATTCCTCGTAGCACTCAAATCTTCTGTGTAACCGTTTCTTCTAGAAGTACAACGACCAAACACTATTGAACCGCAAATGCCATTGAGTGTTGTACAGGTTCCCACGCAAGCTGATTACAGGTGAAATGTAACTTGTCAGTACTCGAAGATGCACACGCCAATCATTCCTAACGTAATATCTAGGGGACTGGATGATTTTCAGGAATTGTAATTTTGTTTTCTGTCTTCCAATTTTTCATCAAAGATGCTTAGTGAATCACTGAAGTCGATCTTTCTCTCGCAGCCAAACAACAAAAAATAATCTGCATTCTGAACTCTTCTAATATCTAGCAGGCCAAAGGCATTGGAGCATGTCTATTTAGAGGACGAAGGCAGGCTTGGTAATTGTAGGAGCGATGATGAGGGTGATCCGATTTTGAAGGCGCTTTCCAAGAGGAAGAAAGAAGGCAAGTCTAGAAAGATAAATCAAAGTCTTGTCAACAACGAGGAGCATGGTTCTTTAGAGAACAATGACAGGATTTGTGACAGTAGGAGCTACAATGAGGGTGATCCTAATTTGAAGATGCCTTCCAAGATGAAAACACACGAGTCAATAGAGAGTGATGGAAGTCTTAACAAAAAGGATGAGCATGTCTCTTCAGAGATGGATGGCAAGCTTGGTACTAGTAGGATCAATGATGAGGGTCAGTCTAAAATGAAAGTGCCTTGCTGGATAAAGAAAATACACGAGTCTGGAAAGAGAAATGAAAATCTTGACAAAAAGGACCAGCATGTCTCTTCAGAGAATGAAGACAGGTTTGGTAACAGTAGGAGTGGTGATGAAGGTGATTTTAATTCGAAAACACTTTTGAAGAGGGAGAAAAGATGCGAGTCTGGAAAGAGTAATGGAGGTGTTAACAGAAAGGAGCATCATGTATTTTCAGAGAATGAAGGCAGGCTTGGATATAGTGTGGGCATTGATGACGCGTGGATGAACCTAAAGAAACCTGTTGGTGGAGGCACTCCAGGGTGCAGGATCGGCAAACTCTTTGTCTCAAATACAGAAATTGCTAAAGGAAGTAAGGGCACCATCATCCTTGAGGGCTTCTATGAGGGTCGACCTGTCGCAGTGAAGCGCCTTGTCCGGGCTCTTCACTATGTTGCTTCACAAGAAATACGGTCTCTGACAGCATCTGACCGAGACCCAAATATTGTTCGGTTGTATGGAGCAGAGAATGATCAGGATTTCGTCTATCTTGCCCTGGAGCGTTGTGCTTGCAGCTTGGATGACTTAATACGAGCACATTCAAATTCTTCAAAGAAATCTGTCTTCCCTAATGACCCAGCATCAAATGCTATCATCGAGTACAAAATGCGATTGGATTCAGTTAAGGGGATGATGCAGGATGTTAACTTGTGGAGGGAAGATGGCCACCCCTCAACTTTGCTACTCAAACTGATGAGGTAATTTATATGTCGTGAAATGTGAAAAAAGGGTTTGAAGAGATTACTGCAAGTATTTTTCTTCTGGTGGCACGCCTACAGTCGACTGTTGCAGACCTCTTATTGTATTTTTTGCTTGCTTGCCTATCTTTTACTTTTACATGAGTCTCAAGCATGTTTACAGAGACAATCTCCATGCCTCCATCAAACTGAGTCCTTTAGACCTCTTCTTTTGCTGGCATTGAATCAGTTCTCAGGCAGCAATTTCCAAGTTATACATGAGACAGACAATTATTAGGCCACTAACTGGCTTTGAGTTACCCTGAAGAGCTCTATATCATGGGCTGAGTTTTGAACCTCACACGTCTCAGTTTCATAAATTAAGGTCATTGTTATTATCTAGGCTGAACTGAGCGGCTTCTTACTATGATACTCAGTTAGTAACCATTTAGTGATGAAGTGACATATTTCCCATTTTGATTGAATATGACTCACAGAGGTAGCAATTTGTATTGCGTTGCCTTGTTCATCTCGGTCCTTGTTGTCATTTCATGTTGAGCCGAATAGTTTAATTTCGATTATGAAAGAATTGGTTTTTTTTTAAAAAGTTATGTAATATCAGTTTTGAGTTAGTCGTCCATGTGTTGTTCCAGATGCAGGTTTCTCCCCGTGAATGAGTTCTTCTCTCTTGTCATCTCAAAATTTGCCACCCAGCTTCTTGCGCCATTTGATCAGAATACAGAATTATCCTTTCCACATTTTTGTTTTAAAATTAGTCCTAATAGTTATCTTTTCTTTACTGTCATCTTGACATTATTTCGTGTCTCCTTGCATTTTGTGTTAGAGAAGTTTCTATCATTAGGGGCTAGCTGTCAATCAATGCCTTCAAGTAGGATTTCTGTTTCTAGCTGCTGGTTATTCAATTATAGGTAGAGGGCACACGACCACCTTGTTCATAGACCTTGCCTTCGTTGATCTTGAATGTCTGTTTGATATAGGAAAACATCGTTTCGTTCAGAAGTCTTGTTGTTTTAAGTCCTAAGATCTACTCTATATTATCATACAGGGATGTGAGCTCAGGGCTTGTCCATTTGCATTGCTTAGGAATAATTCATCGAGACTTAAAGCCTCAAAGTGTTTTGATTACTAAGGAATTATGTGCCAAGTTATCTGATATGGGCAGTAGTAAACTCCTCCCCGGGGATACGTCTGCCTTAGGAAATCACGTCACCGGTAAGTGCTCTTGACAGCTTTACCTGGACCCTAGATCTGCTTTGCATTTAAGATTGATCCATACAGTTCTGAATCTGTTAGGTGATACTAAAACCTTCTGCCGTATAGTTTCAGCTGTAAGAGCTGTCTTTCTTTCTAATGAAGATCTTATATCGAAAGTGGGATCACTCAACAATTTTGCAATCTAGATTGTGGTATGATTTTGGAGATGGCTTCTATTGCTCTCTTTTGATTGACTGTCGAATCCACAATGCCACATCTGTATGTGTTTGAGTGACAGTGGCTCTTTAACAAATGCGAATACCCGATGTCTATCTTGCAGATTGTGGCAGCCCCGGCTTGCAAACGCCTGAACAACTTTGTCCTGCACACCAAGCATGCTCAGTCGATGTGTTTGGTCTTGGTTGCATCTTGTTTTTTTGTGTCACTGGCGGAAGACATCCATTTGGAGACAATCTAAAGGGCGATAGTAATATCAAGGAGAACACAATTGACTTGTCCCCGGTGGAATTTTTGCCAGAAGCTGCAGATTTGTGCACTCATTTACTAAACCCCAATCCTATCCTGAGGTGAGAGTACTGACATGTAATGTGCATGATCTCTTTTTCTTTCTGTACTTCAATGGATTTTCTGCAAGTCATTTATCAACTCTCAATTCCCTGTGGCACTCAAATCTTGTGTATCTGTTCCTTCTGGAAGTACAACGACCGAACAATTTTGAACCGTAAATGCCATTGACAGTTGTACATGTTCCCACATAAGCCGATTACAGGTGAAACCACGGACCTTTAACTTGTCAGTACTCAAAGATGCACATGCCAATCATTCCTAATGGAACATTTATGGGACTGAATGATTCTCTGGGATAATAACTATGTTTCTTGCTAGTAAAGGAGGTTAGAGAATTGTTTTCGCCTTTCAATTTTTCATTGAAGATGCCTAGGGAATTACTGAAGTAAGTCGATCGCTTGTGGCCAAACAACAAAGACATTTGCATTCTGAACTCTTCTAAATCTCGCAGGCCAAAGGCAGTGGAGGTGCTTCACCATCCACTGTTTTGGAATTCAAAGATGAGACTGTCCTTTCTGCGAGACGTCAGCGACTGGGTAGAATCGAAAACTAGGAGAACTAATCCTGATCTTCTGGAAAAATTGGAGAGAATTGCTCAGTGTGTTTTCGACGAGGAATGGTACGGAAAGATAGATCATAAAGTCATTAAGCATATGCGGAGGTTCAGGGCCTACAATTTTAAAAGAGTCAGAGACTTGCTGCGAATAGTGCGAAACATATTTAGCCATTCCATAGGACTTCCACCGAAAATTCAGGTATGTTTCTACTTTCCAGTGCAAATACTGCAGGAAAATTTCGCATCTACGATGACAAGGACATTACTGATTACATTACTATCACCAATACGTGAAGTCATTACTTTATATTCAAAATTATCTTTCTACTTTACAATCATTAAACACGTTTTCTGGTGAACTATCGCTGTGAGGTTACATGTGATTGCTGCAGCTGAATCTCGGCAAGGCTTATAGAGTGAATGTATCCGCGAGCAGTAGTGTGGACTTTGTGGCTCGTATTCAATATTGTTCTGATGGTTGGTTGTGGCAGGAGATCGTTGGATCATCTCCCGAGGATTTGGACAGCTATATCGCAAAACGATTTCCCAGACTCTTGATTGAAACGTACAGATTCATCTCCATGTGCTGCAAAGATGAGGAACGCTCTCCCTTTCTGGAGTACTTCAACACTTGATCACAATGGTTTATCAACGACGAACTTTGCCATAATTTGGGTCGATGACCACAATTTGCAGGATGGTTGATTTGGGCATCGTGCGTATCAAGACGAAACATATACATTTAGTAAACCTGTATGCACATGGTTATATGATGTATATGGTTCGTGGCAATTTGCCTGCTGTGTACATCTTACGAACTGACAGTCCCATGCAATGCAGAAACCGGGGATGAACAACGACGATTTCATAAGAAAAAAAATACACCATTGGCATCAGAGGATAGATCAGTTACACGTGGATCTCAGAAAAACACGGTGTTTGAAGTCGATGCCTTGACTAGATGAGTTATACGTGGTATATTGGATTTTCCAACTGCCAGTCTGTTTTACAAGATAAACGGGCCGAGGATTTAGCAGAATCGAACTCTGATACTGCTCAGCCTCGGCTGGAAATCATGAGGACAGACTATTCTTTGCAATCATTTGCTGCAGAAACCAACAAAGTATATAGTGCAATGTGTCCCGTGGCTGAAATGGGGGCTGCCTTACTTTGTCGAGGTGACGATAATCCTTTCAGCGGATCTCCTGTCAACTCAAGATACCAACTTGGTCTGGAATCTGGAAATTCCGTTACAATACCACTCTCTAGTCAATCAAGAGCAATTGTCTACCGCTTTCGCTCCGGATATGTATGATACGTTTTCTAGGCGTCGGCTTCATGATGGGAGGCAACTTCCATCTCCTAGTCCAAAACAACTAGTACTACCATCCCAGCATGAAATCGATCAATCACTGAACTTTCAGCTTGAAAATCATTCTTCAGAGAGCTCATGCTTCGTCCACAAACGAAGATGGGCAGTTTGTAGAACTCGTATGATGCAAAAGCTGCTGGGGTTATATTGCCATTGCCTGCACCAGAGATCCAAAATTCGATAGTTGTTCCACAGGATGACAATGCAGGTACGATGGTCCTAAGATGTAAATGGTCCAAAACAGGCCTCATCAAGACTTCCTCTTAAAGGTAAGATTGATAAAAGAGGAAAAGCATATCTTTAATATAGATTAATCAATCCGATGATTTTCATCAACTTTTTTTGCGAGAATCATCTATTATTTAAAGTATTTTAATGACTATACAAATCAAGATTATAATTTAAAAGAATATTAACAAAATATAGTTATTTACGACGCTCTCTAAAGTTTAATTTGAAATAACTCCTTATAATATATAATTCTTTAGTTGAATTTTTTTTAGAGGAATTCTTTGGTAAAAGTCGTGAACTTTTCATGATTATAATTACATTTAAGATATGTTACTTAACAATTGTTGATAACAAATACTATCAACAATGTTCAAACCCATTATAAGAAAATCATTTATAGAAATCAGCTAGAACACAATGGGAAGTAAAAGAGAGGATATGAAGAATGTATAAAAACGAATGCAAAATAATATCAGGTGGAGTAAAATATCATTATTTTGATTAATGTGGAAATCGTTATAGTTGACTCTTGATTTTTCCATTTTCAATAAATATCGATTTTCAATTTTTCCATTTGTGATTTTCATTAACCAGTTCTCTTAAGATTATTTTCGTTAACTGAATTAGCCACAAAGCGTTATAACTATTTATAGGGCGGAAAAAGCACGTACCTAACTAGATTGATATATTAAATGACGTGACGGATTTCAAATATTCAAATTATTATGGGATCCATGTTGGACCTGATTAGAGACGAGCGCGTCTTTACCAGATGCTTGGGATTGGGTCGAGTGCAGAGCCTTAAAAATATCGAATTTTCTTCGCAAAAACGATTGGACCCGAACGAGCCTTAGCGGGTCAGGCTCGAGCCTAAGAAGGGAATTGCTTCACCATGATCCGCCCGACTCATGCTACTTCGAGTCAAAGTGCTTCTCCAACGGGTCGCCGGACATGCGATCGGGTCCATACTCGAGCCCACCCGACCCGGGGCTACCCGCGATCGGGCATGCACTTAAAACGGCGCCGTCCGACCAAGCGAAGCGCGGACAACTTTGACGCGGAGAAGAGACAAAAACAATCATCGGCTCGAAGGACGACAACATCCCGTGCGGTTCAAAACGGAGAAATCCCAGCCGCACGACGACGCAATCCCCGAATTCCAATCGTGATCCGGTGGGCGACCGGATGTAGCGGCGCCTGTCGGAGATCCCAAGCCCGCAGCGACCGCGGGAAGCTTCGAATCTTCCTCCCGATTGCCGTCTGTCCGAACCTTCGACCGCTCCTCGTCCTACTACAAAGGGAAGGGATCGCCGGATCAGCGGGTTGTTTGCCGCCCTCGATTTCGTCGTTTTGTCGGGGCTTTTTCCCGGCGTTCGATCCATGAGGGGCGGGATTCGGCGGCGGCTATGGCCGTTGTTGTCCATCGCCGGGTGGTTCTTGGGGCTGACCGCCGTCGTCTCGAGGTCGGAGAGCTCGGAGGTGTCGGTGCCGAGGCCGTGGGACAGGGGATTGGCTCGCTTGCCCGTGAGGTCCCTCAAGTCTATTCAGCCGTGAGTTGGTCTCTTACAGTTCGGCTTTGATTTCGCGTTTCGTGATTGATTTAAAAGAAAAAAAAATTGTGATTTTTTCCGGTCCCAATGAAGCAGTCTTATGCCCTGGAGCTGTGAATCGTTTGGCCAGTTGAGCATATGCGGTTCGATGCCGTGATTTCGATGGTGTGAGTTTAGTTTAGTTGGCAATTCAGTGTGGTAGGATGTGAGCTTGGTTCTTTTGGTATTAATGAGTTTGTGCCAAAGTTTCTTAGGATCTGTATGGTCGAATGGCATAATGCAGGATGGTTAATATAGGGTTCGAGCAGAGTATAAGTTTTCATACTTGCATGGGTGTGGTGGGGAAAAACGGCTTATTTCTCTTGTTTGGAGGTTCCTAGTCTTGTTATTGAATTTTGCAAGGACAAAAAACCCTGCATATGAGGGGAAGAACCGAAAGGGACAGAGAAGCGTTACTTATGTATTAAAAAATAAGTCCCTGCCTTGCTGTCTACCTGTGGAAGTCATGTGGGAATGGTCTCATCGATGTCCAACTTACACCGATTTGGAATTCTGCATGGTAATTTGTCTTGTCGGGACTCATTGCTAATATCTTCTTCTTCATTATTTGGTAGCAAATCTGGGTCTAATGGATGCATGATATGGGTGCGTGATTTGTGTACTCCTGATTTTAAAATTTAGGATCAGTCGAAATTCAGCTTTGCTTTGGCGCTTAGTAATAAATTGTTGCCAAGAACTTGGAAAAACTTGATATGTATATTCAACCATTTGGAGCTCGTGACTAGTACTTTCTATCCAGTGGTTGAAGCTGCTGATAAGGACTCCCTAACTGTGCTGGTTTGATGTATAATTTGTTCTAGCTCCTGCTTCTGATATGTCTTGTTGGCCTTTAAGCTATCAATGGCTAGTCATGAATTAGTGACCAGTCTGAGTCCATTTTTCAGTGACCTGCCATGCCATTCTCCTCTGTATTGGGGAGATAACTCTACCATTTCTCTGTTTGTTTGCATGCCTTTGCTTATGGCTTCTACTTTTGGACAGAAATCATGACACTGCCCTAGTTGCTGCCCTAGATGGGACAATACATTTGGTGGACAGTGAATCTAGGAGGGTTATCTGGTCATTCACATCAGGACCTCCCATCTACTCTTCATATCAGGCTCCAATTAACCAAGATAACGAGAATGAAAGTTCTTCTGGACCCAACAGTGGTTACTTTATAGACTGTGGTGATGACTGGGAGCTGTATATGCACAACGAGCACTTTGGGAAAATGGTACGGCTAAGACTTCTATTTGTGAAAAGAAAATTGAGATCCTTTTAGGTTTTGTCTAATTAGAACAACTGTTTGATCATTTGTCTTATCAGGGATATCACTAATTTCAGCACTTTCCTGTGCCTTTCATCATTAGATTGAGGTTGGTAGGGCTTCCTTGACAGCATTAAAAAACTTGAACCCACCATCGCGAGAGATTTTATTCTCCTATGTTTCTAAGACAGAGTAGATGAGTGCATTCTTGTCTTTGCTACTGCACAATACTGTTTTCTGGAAAATGCCTTGTTGCTTAAAGGTTTCTCTACGCCAGATGATCTTTACCCAAGAGAGCAACGCATGTTTATGATAGGAAAGTATGAAGTTTGCAATACTTAAATGCATGGTATGTTGCTTTGCTCAGGATAAAAAAAATGGCTGTATTTCTTTTGTCCTTAAGATTTAACTTGGACTTGTTTTGCCTATTAAAGGTTGTAAAAAAGATTTCCACATTTTCCTATTTGTGCTTAAATGGAAAATGCCCTTATATATATGTTTTAGACCCATGAAACTTTGATTGTCTTCTGTCCTACTTCCGAAATTGGGGAGAAGTCTCCTGATCACAGTGGCTGTTTTTCTTATTAACTATAAAAAAAGTTAATTGCTGCCACTATTGCCTGCTGTATACATCTTAGAACTGACTGTCCTATGCAATGCAGAAACTGGGGATGAACATTGACGATTTCATAAAAAATACACCATTGGTATCAGAGGATGGATCAGTTACACTTGGATCTCGGAAAAGCACGGTGTTTGAAGTCAACGCTTTGACTGGAAGAGTTATACGTACTTATGGTTTATCGGATTTTCCATCTACGTCTCCAAATGATATAGAAGAGACTGCTTTACATGATAAAAGTGCCAATGATTTGGCAGAATCGAACTCTGATACTGCTCAGCCGCGTCTGAAAATTATGAGGACAGACTATTCTCTGCAATCATTTGCTGCAAAATCCAACGAAGTATTGTGGAATGTGTCCGTGGCTGAAATAGGGGCTGCCTTACTCTGTCGAGGTGATGATAATCCTTTCAGCGGATCTCCTGTCGACTCAAGATATCAACTTGGTCTGGAATCTGAAAATTCCATTACAATGCCACTCTCTTGTCAGTCAAGAGCTCTTGTCTACCGCTTTCGCTATCCTGATATGTATGATACGTTTTCTAGGCCTCAGCTTCATGATGGGAGGCAACTTCCATCTCCTAGTCCAAAACAACTACTACTACCTTCCCAGCATGAAATCGATCAATCATTGAACTTTCAGCTTGAAAATCCTTCTTCAGAGCTCATGCTTCCTCCACAAACAAAGATGGACGGTATGTTGAATTCGTATGATGGTAACGCTGCTGGGGTTATATTGCCATTGCCTGCACCAGAGATCCACAAATCGATAGTTGTTCCTCAGGATAACAATGCTACCGTTTATGCTGATGTTTCACGTAATATTTCTTCTGAGCGGTCAGCGACTTTATATGTTATATTAGCGGTCTTTATGGCGGCTGTTGGTTGGTTTGTCCGCCGTTATTTTCAAGTACCAAAAGAACAGGCTAAGGAGCTCGGTGATTCTAGTTTGAAAACACCTTCCAAGAGGAAGAAAATGCGCAAGTCCGGAAAGAGTAATGGAAGTCTTGACAGAAAGGAGAATCATGTCTCTTCAGAAAATGAAGGCGGGCTTGACAATAGTAGGAGCAATGATGACGCATGGATGAAACTCAATAACAACCTTCTTGAGGATGGCATTGCAGGGCGTAGGATTGGAAAACTCCTCGTATTAAGTTCAGAAATTGCGAAGGGAAGTAATGGGACCATTGTCCTTGAGGGCATCTATGAAGGTCGACCTGTTGCAGTGAAACGCCTCGTGCAGGCTCATCATGATGTTGCCTTGAAAGAGATTCAGAATTTGATAGCATCTGACCGACATGCAAATATTGTCCGGTGGTATGGAGTGGAGTACGACCAGGATTTCGTGTATCTTGCTTTAGAACGTTGTACTTGCAGCTTGGATGATTTAATTCAAGTACATTCAGATTCTTCAAATAACTCCGTCTTCCCTAATGATCCAGCATCAATGGTTGAATATAAAATCAAATTGGATTCGGTTAGGGGTACAATACAAGATGTTAACTTGTGGAGGGCCGATGGTCATCCCTCACCTTTGCTAGTGAAACTGATGAGGTAAATTTTATGTTAGCATATTGCGGCACTCTCAAAATCAACTGTCACAGATTTGAATTTGTATTGAGCTTGCTTACATTTGTTTAACATGACCTAGAAGCATCTCGGAGAGATCACTACCTTTATGAACTCTTCTTTGCTGGCTTATGTGGGTATCGGGTGCTAGTCAACTAATAGCTCTACTGCAAAAAACTTCCAAGTGATACATGATAACAGGAAATTGTTAGGCCACTACTTTGACTCTGGTTAGCCTAATGCAATCAACATCTTGGGCTAGTTTTGAACCATGCAGCTTCCTTTCTAGAATCATAGGTTTAAGTTCAATGACACTATCAAGGCTAAACTCTTAGTTTCCATGGAAATCAATTAGTTATTATCACCCACCCATCGGTGGCCGCGTTGGTTTGCGCTCAGTTCCTTTCACGAGAGGTCCTGGGTTCAAACTCGCCCATCGGTGATTTAAGTGGGGGGTCGTGGCGGTGGGATGCTGCGCTAGCCCCCCTCGAGGACTAGTCGGGCATCACCGCTGGTTTGAGCCCTAGTTCGCCGGCCGCGCGGACACCTCGGTTATCAAAAAAAAAAATAGTTATTATCAATAACATAGTGACAAAACATAGATTTCCTTGATTTGGTAAAACCAGTATACCTTCTCTCTTTGTGATTCGTGAATGCTGCAAAATCCTTATGCACTCGAATCAGTAAATGGTTGCGTTAATGATATGGCAATCAAATTATGTACCAGGTTTTTCATTTAAATTTACAAAAAGAACCTGTAACAGATTTGATTCTCTAGTGTACTTCTGGCATCCTTATTGGTTTTAGTGTGTTATAGAAGTTCCTTAATTTCCAATATGATAAGGCTGAGTATTAATTATGTATCCGATGCATACAAGTGGCCCGGGTACTATTTTTAATTTTAAGTCATAATGTCTATTCTGTATTATGATACAGGGATGTGGTATCAGGACTTGTCCATTTGCATGACTTGGGAATAATTCATCGGGACTTAAAGCCTCAAAATGTCTTGATTACAAAGAATCGATCATTATGTGCTAAGCTATCTGATATGGGCATTAGTAAACGCCTTCATGGAGATATGTCTTCCTTGGGATATCATGCCACTGGTAAGTGCTAATGATAGCTTAACTAAACCTTTCATTTTCTTTTCCTCAAGACTGATATGTATGGTGGTAATCATCTTCGGATTCCTGGCTAAAAACTTTTGGTCGATAATTTTAGTTGTTAGAGCAATCTCTTCTTTCAAAGGATAAGTTATGTTGGAAGTCTGGTTGCTTTAAATTGCTTTTTCTATTGTGCTAAAGTCTGTGGAGATTTAATGGCTTTTGCCACTGTCTCCTTTCATTGACTGGTGATTCTATCATATCAATCTAAGTATGGTTGAAGTGATGTTGGCTTTTTTGTTGATCTCCGATGTCCATCTTGCAGGTTGTGGAAGCTCAGGGTGGCAAGCACCTGAACAGCTTCTTCATGGGCGCCAAACACGCGCTGTAGATGTGTTTAGTTTAGGCTGTGTCTTGTTCTTTTGCGTCACTGGTGGAAGACATCCATTTGGTGAACGTCTAGAACGTGACATCAATATCGTGAAGAATAAAATGGACCTGTTCTTGGTGGAATTCATTCCAGAAGCTGTGGATCTATTCTCGCATTTACTAAACCCTGATCCTGAATTGAGGTGAGTATTGTCAGCTCTAATTTGCATCACTGCCATTGATAGAATTTGTAACCATTATTAGTTGACTAATTTCCATTTTCCTCTATAACTCAAATCTCATGAATATAAGGTCATCGAACTTGGCTTGAACCGCCTTCACCTTGGAGTTACGAGTTGTGAAGTGCATGAACCTAATGCAATTTAAATTGTTATAGAGAGTGCACCACTGCCATATTTGTGATGCATATGAATTCGGAAATCCGCATAATTGATTTCCTTTTAGCATGTTGTGCTATAGTTCATATTTTGTAATAACTTTCCATGGGTCAGTAGTTAATTGCTTTTAATTACTGGCAGGCCAAAAGCACTGGAGGTGCTTGACCATCCATTATTTTGGAGTTCAGAGATGAGACTGTCCTTTCTTCGCGACATCAGCGATAGAGTAGAATTGGAAGATAGGGCAACCAATTCAGATCTTTTGAGAGCATTGGAGAGCACTGCGCCTGTGGTTTTTGGTGGGAAATGGGACGAGAAAATAGAACCCGAAGTTATGGCTGACATAGGTAGATTTAGGCGCTACAACTATGGTTGTGTCAGAGACTTATTGCGAGCCGTGCGTAATAAGTTGAGCCACTACAGAGAACTTCCGGAAAAAGTTCAGGTACTCTCTCTTGAACCCAAATTTGAATTCGAACTCAAACTCGAATTGGGATGATTTCTGCAGCTGAATGCATTAAGGCTTCTTCAGTAACTTTCTGTAACTCGGATGGTGTGAACTAGTGGCTCATATCTGTTATTGCTTTGATGGCGGTGGCAGGAGCTCTTCGGACCGGTTCCTGAGGGTTACGACAATTACTTTGCTAAGCGATTTCCGAGACTCTTGATCGAGTCATACAGGGTGGTGTCCAAGTTCTGCAAAGAAGAGGAATGCTTTCAGAAGTACTTTCGAAGTGATGCGCTTTGAACCTTCGGCCACTTCACCGGTGATCAAAATGGGCTCATTTGCAAGTTTGCAATGATGTAAGTGGATGGCGGGAGCAGATAGACAGTCTGTACAAAAGCATGTAAAGTAGTATGTGCCAGTATAATACGTATACACGATAAACTCATATAATTAACTTAATGAACATTCATGTTCCAATTTCATAGGTCCTAGGTTAGTTTAGGTGATTGATTTTCGTGCCATGCGAAAATGTTTTGCAAACCAGAAGCGCTGATGGCTATCCATATCCCGTCTTAACAATCCAACCATGTCGTCTTTTCACATCACGTTACGATAATGCTGGATAAAGCTTTCGGAGGAGTTTTCTGCAAATTCTTACTAGGCCGGATGAATCTTGGGCGGGTATTGATCGGCACTATGAATGCATGCCTTGTTTATTTGTGAAACCCAAGAAGTTTAGTGATCGTTCTCAAATCAGCAACTCTAGGGGTGTCAAAAAAACCCGATCAAACATGACTCAATCCGACCCGAAAATTTTCGTATTGTGTCGGGTTGGGTCTTAACTTGTTTGGGTAATAGAAAAAATAATTGGGTATTGTTTTGGATCGGGTACCCAAGCTCAACCCAAACAATAACCCAAAGTGCATCTCTATGCACTTTGGATGGGTCGAAAACCAGAATATGAGGACAAATGCTTTACTTTACACAATGTTTGGCAATTTAAGAAGCAAGTTAAAGGAAATTGTGCGAAGGAAAATATAATTATCGATTAACTGAGAAAATCTGTTGATATCAGCAATTATGTGGCTCGGGGGGAATCGTTTTTTATTTTTTATCTTTTATTTCCACCAACTTTTCTCTCAATTTTCACACCAAAATTAGAAAAATGTTTGGTAATAACCAAAACACAGTGTTTGAATTACTTTGTCGTTATGAGTTTTTTTTGTTTTGGTGGTCAGATTGTTGTTATGAGATTGTAAAGTACTAAAAAATAGTAAGTGGTCCACTAGGACCGCTTTTCTAGCCTGGAGGTGTCCGAGTTGGACCTCGCTTTTTTGTTAATTTTGTTCTTTTTTGTAAAATTGCAATTCTTTTATTTTACATTTCCAAATCAATCCACTAATGTGTCTCATTTTATATTTTTCTATTTTGCTTAGTAAAATATTTTTTGATTGAATATAAATGTGAAAAAATCATTTCAATTTTCTTGAATGTACTTATCATGTGACAAATCAGATGTACAACAATAAAAGAGAATATTTCAATGTTATTGTCACAATAATATTTATCCCCAGATTACACTAACGGGTGTGTATAAAGGGTGCTGTCGCGTGTTACGTCACATAACAAATTTTTTATTTCTCTTAACACCGTTAACTATAAAATATAAATTCCATCTATTTTTTTTTTGTTTGAATACCAAGATGAAGCTCATAATTTTTTAGAAAGTAATTTTATTGTCGTGCAACTGATTTATTGTCTTATCAAATTAATTCATCGTATCAAACTAAAGCAAAAAAAAAAAGGAATTGATTTGATATTAAGTATCAACCGAAAAAAGGAATTGATTTACAGATAAAATTTAGTTCCATTCACCAAATCAGTTAATTTTATTGGTCCCTATCGAATTATACAAATGTCTTTCTATATGTATGTATCATGTTAATTTGCTTTTGTTTTGTGCATTAATCTTTCATTGTAATAATATCGAATTATAGGCCAATCGATTTTGTTATTACATCTACAGGAATATAGAAAAGCAATACTTACTTTTATAAAATTACTGGGATCAAGTTCTCGGCTTTCTCGAAGAACTAAATATTTTTATCTTGTAATAGGCAAAATTAAAATGTCAGCATACTACACTGAGCTCTTTTAATAAGTAACATGTGTTACATTCTTATCGCCGATCATATTCAACAAACTCACTCAGTAGCAAAGAAAAATAATGACATTATAATAATCCTAGGATTATGCTAAAAAAAAGGATTTCACAGAAAATTTAATTTTCTCCGGTGCAACAAGCAGGCCCGTTCTAGTGTTCTGCTAATGTAATATTCTGGCCAAAAAAAATTACACGAAAACCGGAAAAAAAAATAAGACAAAAAGAGTGGAAGGAATAAAAGAAAAAGAAAAAAAGAAAACTCACAATTAATTTTTACATTGGGCCGTTCCAGTAAAAAGTAAAATGGGCCCAATAAAAATCTTGAGGCCCACAGGGTTCAACTAAACCCTGCGCTCTCTCTCTCTGTCTCTCTCTGTGTCCGCGCTCGCTGATCCCCGTCCGCCACCAACATGTCGACCTTGAAGGAGATCTTGACCCGCCGCCCCGTGGCGGCGACGATCAGGCTCACCGTCCCCGCCGGCGAGGCCCGGCCGATGCCGCCGGTGGGGCCGGCGCTCGGCCAGTACAGGCTGAACTTGATGGCGTTCTGCAAGGACTTCAACGCCCGGACGCAGAAGTACAAGAAGGACACGCCCATGTCCGTCACCGTCACCGCCTTCAAGGACAACACCTTCGAGTTCACAGTCAAGTCGCCGAGCGTCACGTGGTACCTGAAGAAGGCCGCCGGGGTCGAGTCCGGCAGCGGCCGGCCGGGCCACGAGGTAGCGTCCACGATCGGGCTGAAGCACGTCTACGAGATCGCGAAGGTGAAGCAGTCGGATCCCTACTGCCAGTACATGTCCCTGGAGTCGATATGTAAGTCCATCATCGGGACTGCGAATTCCATGGGGATTCAGGTCGTGAAGGCGCTGGAGTGAGTTCGGGATAAAGCGATTTTTGCAGATGGGTCGGGGTAATTCGTTGGTTCAGGAGGAATGCCTGGCGTTTGAGGAGACAAGGAAATGCATTAAGCGAAATGTTCGATGTAATTCATGTTTTGATGAATTGGGAAGATGCTATTGCGTGTTTTCTTCTTGATACTGAGGTTTTATGCCATTCAGAACATTAAGGTTTGATGTTGATTTAGCGTTTGATTCAGAGAGCATGTTGGGTCATCCTGAGATGTGTTTTCTTCGTCTTTCTGTGCTCCTACTCAAAGAAAGCTTCAATCTTTGCTGTTCAGATTATTCACCAAAGGTTCTAGCTTTGGATAAACCTTCGATGAAATTTCTTTCGATTTGGTATGATTTTTGAGGAAATCGCCCGCCTTTTAAGAATTCAAAACCAAGCAAAGGCTTCATGGAACTTTGCAAAGAACCTTGGCAGGTAGTATGTTCAAGGATGACGCTTTCTTCATGAGGTGTTTGATCAAATGGGTCCTCGATCAATTAGGCCGCAACCTCTCAAGCAATTTAGCTCCTCAATCATAGTCTAGAAACTATTTCGGGTCATCGTCATTTCACAAAATGAAAATAACATGGAATAATATGTACTGGGTATTTGGTTTTGTTTACACCCACGGTTTACTATCAGGATGAAACTCAGGTCCTCTAATTTGTAGATGGATCTGCAACCCTTACACAGACAGCAAATAACATGGGAGGACCACTACACAAAGGCTAGTTTTCTTAATTTGAGAATCGTATCGATCATTTAGTTCTATGTGCAGTTGGTACATTGTTTCTCGAAGAGCTGTTCATGACTCGGCGCAGTCTCCGAGCCAATTCTTCGTCTGTCTTGCAATTTGCAATCACCCTGTTCCTTTCGTACAGTGAGTGAACCGGAACGTGCTTCTTCAGCTTGTTCCTTTTAAGCGACGTCTCATTGTGATTTCCCTCGTTGGAGAAAGATGCTACTAGATCCAGAGCGCTCTTGGCTGCAGCAACCGCCTTAGCTGCAATGGCCGCCTTCTCTTCGGCAGCTGCTCTAGCAGCTTTTGCAATCTTAGCCGCGGCTAAAGCCGCCGATCTTGAGGCCTCCACGATTTCCTCAGGCGAAAGGTTTGGATTGCTATGAACACTTATTAAACTGTTCAGGTGGGCATCAAATGCACCCGACGACGATGAAGAAGGTGCGGCTGTAGAAGAAACATGCGAGACCCCCTTGGTATCTGAATTCTGTTTCTTTAGTCCGGCAAGCAAACGCTTCCGAGGAGGCAATAACACATCAGCATCCGCTTGCTCGACGTCGCATCCATTAGCTTCCATGGTTCCTTCTTCAGTCAAACGATCCAAACTCGGATAATGGGAACTCTCTATGTTGATGCGGCGACTGCTCCATCCACATCAGTGCTGTAACCAATGACATCGAGATCTTAAACCATTCAGAGCATTCTGCCAAACAAACAAGTCATGTGGTGTGATCTACATAAATTGCAAGTCTAACACAAAAATTCAGTCACATTTCCAACAAGAACTCAGTTGCTATCAAGCCAGATCACATAATTGCAGAGCCGATGATTAACGAAAATGCGTTTCTCCGTCGTTAGCATTCCACGCCGGGTCAAAGAAAAATCATGAAAAAACAATCAACGGGTACCAAATTCAGCTCACTTATCGAGCTCGGCTCGGATTCGCAATTTACTCCCCAAGAAACTCAACAAGAACGTGCGAGAGACATGAATGTCAACTCTCACATCATCCCATTGAAACTTCTCCAACACAAGCCAGGCTCAAAAGCTAACATACAACCCACGAAAACCTGCAGAACAAGAACAGATCATCTTAAAAATGCATGGCCTCCACACATGATGGAGCATGAAAACCGCCTGCATCGTCAAGAACACGGGCATAGACGGCGAATTCAACCGAAACCATCGACGATCATGACAAAGCGGAGCTAGACACGACAAACAAAAGCTGATCCCAACCGAATTCAAACATGGGGACTGCGATGAGATCGAGGGACACGAGGATTCCTCTGCAATCACCTGTCTCGGGTTTTTTTCCCTATCCACTTGGAGGGGAAGACGCTAAACGGGTGCCGAGGAACATCGGGGAAGGACAAGCGACTAGGGTTTTGGAGGTTGCAGATGCAGAGAGAGATTGTGGTGGTGGTGGTGGTTCTTGTGGGGGGGGAGGAAATGGAGATCTTCTCCTTTTTGTATGGTTCAATATGAGCGATGGAACTGTGTTGGGTTTGGGTTTTGGGTTAATTTGCAAGAATGTCAAAAGGCTGGATTTGTATTTGGTTTTACTAGTTCTAGAAAGGAAACCCAACATGCAAATCCCCAAAAAACTTGCCCAACTTAGGACATTTTTTTTAGGTGGGCTAACACCTTTTTACTTCGATTTTATTTGGACCTTGAACTTTGAATTTGTGCGATTGGATCTTTCGATTTGTGTAAATTTTCCTAAGGAAATCATGTCGACACTGACTTCAACGATTCGAGTGGATACGGGCGTCGGCTGATACTGAAGTGCGGCATGGAAAAAAGTTGACCTCCGTGGACATGCGGCCTTGAAAAATGACCCTCATATTTGCCTCTCGAGTATGATCCATTGGCCACGTTAACTCGAATGATTTGATTAAGGACATTGAACGTTCAAGAGGCAAGCCCTACGAACTATGGGGTTCATGATTAGCTCTATAAGGTCGAAAATTATTTCGTATGTTATTGAGGATGTAACGAGATTAAGTATTAGGATAGAGGGGATCAAAAAGTGGATTTGAGCAAACCAGGTCCACGCATTATTTATCGCATAAAATATATACAACATTCGTTTTAAACAAAGTGAGCAAGGATCAAGCTAAGGCTGAGCTTTTTCCATACCTAAATGAGATTGCATGGCCCCCACCCAAATTGATTTTATCAATTTGGGTTGGGGGCATGTGGACCGCCACATCCATGATTAGGATTTATAATAACATTGTATAGTATTTCAACTGTCAATGAGGATTGAGATAATAATTGGATGGGTATGAAATCTTAGCGTCTGAGTTGTTGTTTGGGCTCCTACCGAATAAATTTATATATTAAATAGTGAGAAATTAAAACCATTATTTTGTCAAGGAAATATTGTGGAGACGGGATTCGAAACTGTGACCTCAAGGGTATATGCCTTTGAGCTATCAAACTGTTCTATCCCGCAATGAAGATAAGGAGATCCTAATGGATCAACAACCAAAAAGGGTTGAATGCACCTCTCGTCTACAGTAAATTTGAAAGTACATTAGAAAGGGAGACCACCACGTTAAAATGAGACAATGATGTTTTATCGATGTCTCACGTATTATATATGACAATCACTCATTGTTAAAATCAGCATCTTGAAGTCCCAAGAATCTTCAACAAAAAAACAAAGGTCCTAAGAATCGATCGAACTAGGAAAAAGCTTACATATTTCGGGTTGAGTGTACCTATCTCGCTCCTAAATGAGTTGGTTGAGTGGATTTTTGTCATTAGTCATTATTTGCCTTTACCTATATCCATATGAATCGATAATCAAACTCATTTAGCCCAGGTGATCTAATCAAGTTCAAAATCTAAGCCCGGTCAAGAATTTAGAGCTCAGCGGATTGATTGGATTGAGAAAAACGAAAGGACATGGAAGTAAGTTATTACCTAGGAAATTATTTCCCTCCCACCTTAAATTGCCCAAAAAAAAGGTGTTAGTGTAAATTGATAGTATTGATTCACCTATTTTACGCCATCATAATCAAGCTAGCAAACCTAATCTGCATTGGTGAATTCCCTAAAAAACCTCAAATTTTAGGTCAAGTCCTAAATCTGCCTCGAATTTTTTTTGCCTCATAAAAAAAACTCCCAAACTTTAGGTCCAGTCCCAAATCTACCCCGAACTTTTTTTTGCCTAAAAAAAAAACCTCAAATTTTAAGATCAGTCCCAAATCTACCCCGAATTTTGTTTTATGTAAAAAAAAATCATCAAATTTCAATTTATTTTCAAAAATATGCCCTGTGATCTAGTCCTAACTTGACGTAACATTTCCACGTTGATAACAAATCCACATTAGCAAAGTAATTGAGCGATAGGTACAAACCGATGTCGCATTTCCACTTCGATAACAAATCAAACAAAATAAAAATTGTTGAAATTCTCCGAAATAAAACCATTATAGGATATGAAAGTTAGGAAAAATAACAAATACACCCTTAATTTAAATAAATAAATAAAAACCTAATTTTTAGGTTCAATTTAAATTTGCTCCGAATTTTCTTTATCTAAAAAAAGCCACATTACTTTGTTGATGTGGATTTTTTATCGATATGGAAGTGTCACGTCAAATTGGGACTGGATCACATGGTATATTTTTGAAAATAGGTGATTTGTTTTACACAAAATAAAATTCGGGGCAGATTTGGGACTAAACTTAAAGTTTAGGAGTTTTTCTGAGATAAAAAAAAGTTCGGAGCAGATTTGGGACTTGACCGGGGTTTTTTTGGGAATTAGGCAGCTCGAAGTGTATCATGCGATACGTTCACCAATCAAGTATTGTTGTTTTTACGGTTCAGTGAAGAGGGTCGGTCCCTGGCACCTGGCGGGACGCGGGCGATGCAGCGCGACCGCCATTTTCTTCCTGCATTTGTGGGTTTCGAAAGCCCACGCTCCTGAAGCCACCGCTTCGAGAAAGTGGTGCCTGATTCGTCTCGAATCTCAGTACAGAGGATCGATCGATAACCCATTAATCGCATCATCATCGTCATCGAGACCCAGAATCTTGATTCGTCTGAAGAACCCACCATCGACCCATTTCTTTTTCCCTTCAAGAATTTGCGTTCGGGAGCGAAATCTCAACTTGGCATTTGGATCGGTGTGACATGCCGTAGTCGAGCGTGGTCATGGTTGCAGGTATGATGATCTCTGGACCTTACATTTGTTGTGCGGTTGCGGAGAGTGGTTGCGGTGTTTCATCGGTTTCTGTCGGTTGAATCTGTCAGCTTGAGGACCCATGAGTGCCGTGAAGCCCTTGCCCGGTGCTGTTCACAGTTCGATGCGTTCTGGGATGGTTTTGTTCGACTTGGCGAGCGTGGTTGAAGAGCTGGTCTTTAACAGCGTGGATGCTGGTGCCAAGAAGGTAAATTGCTTCACTCGAAAGTCTCTAGAGGTAGACCCACTGGGCGTGCCGATGAGCCCTCATCAGAAGTGAGCAGAGATTCTGCGGAACCTGTTTATTAGAGAGATAGTAGGTTTGGATTGCAAAATTTCAGAGTCTGTGGTACCAAGTGATGCCCACTCTGCAACTGCTTCCGAACCGGGTTGGAACCCACCCTGGAGGTCGTTCCACGAGTTTTGGGAGATTCCAAGGTATCCCAAGATGGGTTTTAGATTCCAAATGTCAACAAGCAATCCTAGTCGTAGGGTAGGGCCACTTTCCCATCTGGAACCACTCGTTACTAGCACTAATTCAGAATATCTTTACCTACAAGCTCTTGTTTTTTTTTTTCTACGTCCCATCTAGGAGGGGACAGGAAAGGGACATAGTTGTCCATGATTGGTTCTAATTTTTTTTTTTTTCCTTCTTTTTGATGTAGTGAACCTGTACATACTTGTGCTATGTTGCCTGTGGTTGCCTTTGACATTGGTCTACCTAAACGAGGACATATCCTCTGTGTCATGGCATTGTAAAAGGGAAAAAGGAAAAAGTCAAAGCAGAAATTAGTATTGCATAGTTGGTGCATTTTGATGGTTCCCTTATATCTGAGGAAATCGAACCGGTCATTCTGCACGCAATGACTGGGATGGTGATGATCTCATTTTGAAGAGAAGAGATTCATTAGTGACTATGATAGGTTGATAGTTTAACGAAGATTGTGTTTATTATGTTCCTGCTGTAATGATGATGATTCATCAAATATCTAAGGGGAGACTGGATTTTGTACTGAATTAGCTAGCTTGTTCCAAATGCCAAGATGGGATAGACTACCAATTTGTAACTCTACGGTTATAATCATGTTTAAGTGTGTGATCAACATAGTGTCCTTCTTGTGTTTACATGCATATATTCATTGAGCGAGGCTCACATATTGAAAATGAGAATATACTTCCAGAAAAGTAGTAGAAGCAATGATAGCGTGAAATACATAGAATTTGGTTGCAAACCCTTTGTCCGTGTGAATGTGCTTTTCCGTTGATTGTATAGCATATGAAGGTATTTCTAAGTTGGAAGCTGATATTTAACATTATGCGCTGTTCCAGGTATCAGTTTTTGTGGGTATCAGCAACTGTTTTGTGAAAGTGGTTGATGATGGTTAGTAATGATTTCCTCTTTTGAGTTGAATCTGTATAGCATACCTGTTTTATCCTATTTATTTTAAATTGATACACCTGTAGGATCTGGTATTACTCGGGATGGCTTGGTGTTATTGGGAGAAAGATATGGTGAGCTATTCATTACTTTTCTGTGGATTTCACATTAATTTGAACTGTCTATGCATGTCGACAGGTTTGCATCATCTGCATACTGTCAACCCAGTCTAGGAGTCTTCCTTTTGCATTGTACAAGTACCGGTGCAAAATGTCGAATAATGTGGGGTAGATGATATAGTATGTACTTCCATTGAAGATTGGTGTTTTATTTCGCTAAAATCTTGGTTGCTTGAACAACTTGAATTTTGCTCTTATTGACCTTAATCTCTATCATTGGCCAAGATGGAATATTTGCTATTACAACAAAACGATCCTTTTTATTATATTCTTTTATCAATCTTAAGTGCCAAAATCTTAATTAATACACCAGCAGTGGATCTGTTGATTCCTTTGCCTGCTCCATAAATTTGTCAAAAGTAAGTGTAGGATGAGCAGTGATATCTGGATATCAAGACTGGGTATACTGGCTGTTATCTGGAGCCTTAGTAGCTAGAATTGTTGTACCTGAGTGCTGTAGGTAAGCTGTGTGAAGAGGGCCTTCTAGATGTGAGAGATAGAAATATGCTGGGTTAGTGCATTTTCTGCTTTGTAATTGTATTAGCTGGCCTTTTAGTTTGGTGTCTGATCTTCATGATTTGCTTTTAGCAACATCCAAAGATCATCAACTGGATGACATGGACTCTTGTTCTGGGAGCTTTGGTTCTCGAGGAGAAGCACTGGCTTCGATTTCTGATATTGCAGTATTGGAAATCATAACAAAAGCTCCTGGCAAACCAAATGGATACCGCAAGGTTTTAAAGGTATTGATAATTCGTTAATGGTTTAAATGTGGTACTGTAGAAGGCTGCTACCTATTTACTTCTTGTTTGTTGAAGATTATGTTTTTTGTTGACTTTCTTGTTTTAGGGATGCAAGTGTTTGCATCTTGGAATTGATGATGACAGAAAAGATGCAGGCACATCAGGTAAGACATTAATTGGTAAGGTGGCTTGGCCATCAGATAAGAAAGTAGGAGGATGGGCACCTTCCTTGCAAACGGAAATAACCTGGAACGTACTTCCTTGTCAATATAATTTTGGGATGCTAGAAGTTGACCAATATAATGGGGATTTTGAATACCTAGCTTCCAGTTGCACTTGACGGACTTCATTGAGCACAGGCTTCACTACTATGTTGAGCAATTGCCAAACTACATGGCCTCCCTAGAAATTAAATTTTGATTGGCAATGGAACCCCATTTAATTGACTTGCAATTCTACTTGCATTTGTTGCTTAATACTCATTTGCGTGCACATAGGATAATACACCAGATTGTGTCTGCTTAAGTAGATTGTCTGAGCTGTTTGATTATATTCAGATTTCACTCGGATTCATCTTGGTTCCTTGCAGTTGTAGTTCGTGATTTATTTTACAATCAACCTATTCGGAGGAAGTCTATACAATCGAGGTTTAACTTTCCTTCTCTTTTAGTTCTTTCAATTTATTTAGTAGATACTGAATGGCCTTGTAAGGTATATGATTTCTGCAATGTTACCATCTGCCTGATGAACCTTTAATTTTCTCTACAAACTAAAAGTCCCAAGAGGGTCTTGGAGTCTATCAAGAAGTCTGTATTCCATATTGCTATTGTTCACTCAGAGATCTCCTTCCAAGTTGTTGATATTGAAAGGTACCTGTCTATCAGACAGATCACTTTTATTATGTGAGATCATCTTATCCTCACATAATTTTGAAAAATTACAGTGACGATCAGTTGCTTTGCACACGTTCTTGTACCACCCCTTTGTCAATGTTGAGAAGGTTTTTTGGAAACGAGGTTGTCAGCGTTCTTCGTGAACTGAATGCTCGTGAAGGAGCATTGAAGCTTACAGGTTACTTGTCTGGTCCATGTGACTCGCTTGCAATTAAGGTTACTCTCTCTCTCTCTCTCTCTCTCTCTCTCTTTCGTGCAGAGAGGTCTTATTGTATTATTAGGACCTCATTCTATATCATGTATGATGCAGGCCTTCCAGTATGTATGTATCCACGCCTTGTATGCTGGTAAATAGTGTAGCGATATTACTAGCTTATCTGAGATGGTTTGGCAAGCATCCTTCCACTTGACGCATTTGGTTGGAACTTGACTGGAGTAGACATAAACTCACGGTTTGTTTGCAAGAGCCCTATTCATAAATTGGTCAACCAACTTGCCAAGGAGTTTGAGTATGTAAATGCAAGGAGGAGCAACAATGGTTTGCAGAAGAGCAAGAGAAGTAGGTCTTGTGCAGGTCCAGCTTACATTTTGAAGCTGAGTTGTCCTCGCTCCCTCTATGACTTAAGCTTCGAACCGTCAAAGACGTGTGTTCAGTTTAAGGTGAATCCTGGTCTTGTTATCTCCATTATGCTCGAACTGGTTATTGATTGTCCCCCTGCAAGTTGTGGCTTCTGATTAAGGTGAATCATGGTCTTGTTACTCCATTCTGCTCATACCTGTTAATTGATTGTCCCCTTGCGAGTTGTGGCTTCTGACATGATTGTTCTTGTTTATTGTTCCTTTTTAATGAACCCTTGCTTCTCTTTCCAAACAACCGATTTAAGGATTTTACTTCAAGATCTCCTCTGTTTCAATTGGTTTGCCACTAGTAAGGATGGAAATGTTTTTTTTCCTAGTGCAATTTATAGAAGTTCGAGAAGGGTAGTGGTCTATGCCTTTGTTTTTTATGCCATCAGTCCAAGTCCATGGCTTCTTTTCTTTACTGGCACTGGCAGTGTTTTACAGTTATTCTTTTTAGTAGTCAGATGTTACATCTATGATATTTTTTGGGAACCATTGCTGATATATGTCTCTCTCTCTCTCCAAAAAGGATTGGGATGCCATACTCGCTTGTGTTGAGAAGGAAATTCAGCGTTTCTGGAAAGTAAATTCAAGTAGAGGTAGGGCATTCCATGAACTAAATGTTGGGGTGGTGTTAATGTATGACATTCTGAAGTTTTTTGACTTTCTTGAGTTGTTTGCAGCAATGTGCTCTCAGAAAAATTTTGATACACTACGAAAAGATGTGGAATTTGAGGAGGACCAGAAAAGCCTCTCAGGAAAACCAGGTATTAGGCTTTCTAGCCTGATTCATTTCGACCTACTGTTTGAGTTACCTTCCCCTATAGCCATACAAGTGACCTGATTTTGCATATAACCTAATTGAACTATGCTTTAGAATTGGAATGACATATGACTCTGATGATATTTTGTTATGATGTCACATGGATCATGTCTGAAGTGTTTCCTTTGTTCCTCAACTAAACTTGTAGTTATAGATTACTCTGAATTGGCGAGGAAAAAGTGCAGATTCAATGAGGAGGGCATTCTCAACCTTCCATCATTCCTTTTAGAGATGCCAGGCAAAGAGAGCCATCATAACTGTAAGGTGGCCAAGGGAGAAATTCCATTTAGAAAGATTCGCCATAAAGGTGTAGACTTCACTGCCCAACAAAATGAAATAGAATCACTTCTACAAGATGGTGATCCTCTACCGCAATCAGACAATTGCTTTTCTGATCACATCTCGAGTGTGATCTCCAAGGATGATGGTTATCAGTGGTCACCAGATAATAGTATTCAGCGCAGTCACAATGATGTCTCGTATGCAGAAGATGATACTTTGGTAAAGTGTTTTAGCCTAGAAGGAAGATCTAAAAATAGTGTAGGGGGTGATATTTTTACTTCAACATCTGAAAACGAATCCTTTAACAATGATCCTCTGGGCTGCAATGGAGCAAAAATGAGCTTGGTATCTTCTGTTATCCTGGAAGAAAGTGACAAGTTTGAGGTTGGATCTGGTAGAAAGAGACCCTACCTGCAGAGTTGCTCCCTACGTGATAATTTGAAATTCAGTCCTCTGAAATTTGCTAGTGTTGAAGAATTTGAATTTGAAAGTGACATCTTCCAGATCAAACAGAAACAGTCAAGCCTTTATGATGACCCCAATTTTCGGAGACATAGTCATAGTAAACAACGCTTCAGTTCCTTTTCTGAGGCTCTGTGGCCAGATGATGTATGCAGTGATGCTCAACCTGTTCCCAAATATACAGCCAACAAGGGAAAGCCTGTTGATACTGATTGTCCATATGCTGCCTCTCATAGGTCAGTTCCATGGTACACAGAGGATTTCATCGAGGAGGATGGTCTCTCTTCAAGTGATTTTTTTCAAATGCAAAATCCTGGCTTAGGTTGTCGGTCTTCAGATTTTGATTCGTTTTCTGATATTTTGAGCCCCTTATGTCAAACAAAGCCTTTTCGTGGGAAACACAGCATTGACAATGTGTTACTGGAAACAAGTTCAGAAGGCCACAAAAAGGCTAGTTACATGTCTCCTTTTAATGAAGGAAAGAATGTAGGCACGTATGATCGCATCTTAAAGAGCCCCAGCAGCGAGACGTGCACCACAACCCAAATGACTGCGGAACGTGGCATAGATAACAATACAAATCTAAGTATAGATCCAAGCAAACAAAAAGCTACCAGTTCACCAAAGACTCTTCCAAAACCTTACAATATATTAGCTGATGAAAGAGTACAGTTTTGTCAAGAGTTGTGCCATGACCATTATGAGGCAGCAAGAGATTATGCAACACAAAAAGGACTGATCTGGGATAACAACGCTCAGCAAAATAATGTCCATCGAGAGAGATCAAGAAGCCGTTCTGCTCCTCCATTTTATAGAAAGAGGAGGAGCTTCATTTCCTTATATCATCTTTCGCAGGCGAGCCCAGGAAACTCTGATGCTGAGACCTACCATGCTTGTAAGGCTTATCCAGGTTAGCTGCGTAGGCAACTCTCTTGATTGTACCATAATGATGTGAAGAGTGAAGTGACTGTGAACTGATTTCCTCCAACCTGTGCAGAAGCCGGTGAACCGAAATATTCCCAACTATCTAGTAGCTTATGTCATTTGTCTTCTGGTAAAGGTTCTGTAGAGCTCCCATTCTATGGTAACAGGTACTCTATGTCTGTCCCATCTGACTTTTTGACTCTGTAAAATGTGGGGTTGACAAAATACTCACTCTGATCGGCATTCCAGGATAGATATTCACAAGATGCATGACAATGGGCTGAAAATCAAGGAACTTCATAAAGGTTTGAACTTCAAGCTACTTGAGATCTAAACTTTGGGAGTTTTGAACAATCTCTTATAACTTTGTGCTTGTTTGGGTCCCTCTGACCTTTGTCAATGGTGGTCTGTTGATACTTGTGTCAAATCTAACTTGTGAACATTGAGAAATGAAGGAGCACACATGGAAATCAAAATGTAAGATTGCAGGATTTAGTCTATTTTATTGTCTATCAGGTCACTAGAGAAGTAAATATGGTCAAATGACAAATTGCATTGCACCTTAGTATCTGCAGATCCATTAGAAACACTCTGGAGAGTTATCTGCCGAAGCTCTAATTGAGCCTCCCGATCAAAAAAAAAAAGAAGCTCTAATTGAGCCTGACACTATCTTAAATTGTTGTTTACTGCTATTTCTGTGCTTTACATTTCAGATATTATCTTTGGGAGTGTTCAAGACTCAAGAGATTGTGGGACTAAATGGCGGGATAGTTGTCTACAGGTTACTGTCGAGTACCCTTGCTGTATTGGATGATTGTGCAAAATGCTGGCAGCCTGACAGTCTTTCTTCCGTCTAGTGATTTTAATTAATCAGTGATTGAGTGCCTTCTTTTGCGCAGAAAAAGTGTGGATCATCTGAGATTCTGGGCCAGACCCATGTACTGGATATCACATCGGGATTCTTGCATCTTGCTGGTGATTCATTAGTACCAACATCCATCAGTAGAAATTGCCTTGTGAACGCCAGAGTCCTTCAGCAGGTTGATAAAAAGTTCATCCCAGTGGTAGCTGGTGGAACCCTTGCTGTCATCGACCAGGTTCAGTTTGCCAACCTTCTTTTTTCTTTTTTGTTGTGGTTCTGTGGTTTGACATGAGTTTCCTTTCTTTGGTGATGGTGACGATCTAACCAGGTGAACTAGAGACATTAGCTATTAACTGCAAAGTTGTATGGCATTTATGTAGGCTCCCAAGAGTCTCAAACAAGAATTCAAAATGCCCCTTTTATACTCAAGAGATGCATGCACGCTTCCAAACAAGAAAATACTCAAGATAACACAAACTGACATATCTAGCCCATGCAAAGATGAAGCATCTAGTGTTTCTCTAACAGCGTCTTTATCTTATGTTCTCTTCCAACAGCATGCTGCAGATGAAAGGATTCGGCTAGAAGAACTGCGCCGGAAGGTAAACCGGGGGCTTGTCTTTCGAGATTGAACTGATCCCTATTATTTTGGGGCTCCTAAGACTGGTTGATCTGTAGGTGTTGTCTGGAGAAGCGAAGACAATTCGCTATCTGGAGTCAGAAAAGGAGTTGGTATTGGCCTATTGACTGATATGTTCTGTAATGGACCTCTACTTATGGCATTAATCATCAAGTTTATCATGTATACCATTTTAAACTTCTGAAGTGCACAGGTGTTGCCAGAGATTGGATGTCAACTTATGCTCAACTATGGTGAGCAGATAAAGGATTGGGGATGGATATGTAATATCAATGCTCAAGGTTCAAGGCCCTTTAGAAAGTAATTATTGGGTTCCATTTGTGCGACTTTTTCTTAACCATTTGCACATCAGGCCCTCATAGTCAAAGTTGACCTAAGATATGGATTATAATAGCCTGAGGTTCGAAGCACTACATCAAGTACCTATCTTCATCTATGCTGTGATTAATTGCGGAAAAAGTACAGAGTTGTTATTGATTAAGAGTCTCATAGATCAGCTGCCATCATGTTATGTACATTGGTTAATTTCACTTGATCTTATTGAGCCTCAATTGCAGGAATATAAACCTTCTCCAGAGGCAGCCGACTGTTGTCACTCTTCTTGCGGTGAAGCATCATTCTCTTGTATCTTATCTTGCTGTACTTAACATTGTTCTAGTTGGATGCTACTCAACTCCCAACAAGCTAAATCCACTTCCCCAGTTCCACCAGCCATCACTTTTTTGTCGCTTTGAAGGTGTCATGCTAACCTATCCTTCAAGATCTATTTTCAGATAATTATATATGCCGTGCAGGTACCATGCATTCTAGGTGTAGATCTAAATGATGTGGATCTCTTGGAATATCTTCAACAGGTATATCTCCATCCTCGCTAGGCTTTCTCGTTTCATGTCTATGCACCTTTTAGATGCAGGTGCACTGCTAAACCTATCTCTTGATCTAATATGCAGCTCGCTGATACGGACGGAGCATCAACCATGCCTCCAGCCGTTCTTCGTGTTCTTAACTTTAAAGCATGCAGAGGTATGAGGGATTGTTCTATTATTTTTTAATTTCCCCTTTTTTTACTAGATGAGTTTTTGTGTGAGGTGTTCCAAGCCCGCAAGCAGCAATCTCCAAGCTCCAACCATCCCTTTATTTCTATCTGCTTTGTTGAGCACGGGGGTTTTTGTTAGTGATTGATTTTGGAGTAAATCAGAAGGCTCAGGTTAGGGATTGTACATGATATAATCATGTTTTTCGTTAACAATGCAATATAGATACATATTATTCTATGGAAGATGGACTGGTTGGTCTTCATTTATGAGTTTTGTGGATACTTATTGTCCTCTCACTGCATAATGGGATTGCCTTGGCTTGGTTAATCTTTTACAAGATAAAATTATGCTTTAGGAATTCTGGATCTTCAGCTATACGCTTCTCTAACTCCATTTTCATTTGACCTTGAAGGAGCAATTATGTTCGGGGACACTCTGCTTCTTTCAGAGTGTTCCCTTATCGTGGAGGAGCTTAAAGGGACATCACTCTGTTTCCAAGTGAGTCAATCATCTCTCGGCACATATGCTTGTAATGTCGTCTGGGAAGATCTTTTTTTCCAATTTCTTTTTAGCATGATAGCTTAGAGCTTGTTTGCAGTGTGCTCATGGACGACCTACCACGGTTCCCCTTGTCGACTTGGAGGCATTGCATAAGCAGGTAACGAGACTGTGCTTGCCAGATGATGGTCCAAATGATTTGTGGCATGGACTGCGTCGGTGTGAATTAAGTCTGGAACGTGCTGCAAAGCGGTTAGATGTGGCTTCAAGATAGTGCGTGATGACTTGACCAGAGAATGTTGTAACTCTGTATATTAGTTGATACGTATAGATTTGTTGTTACAGCACAATCAATCAACTGTACCAATCAACATAAAGTTGCGGGGTAACATTTTGCACCCGCCGAATTCCCCTATGCATTGTCAATGCAATAAAGTTGAACTCATGTCAATGGTGTTCTCATTGTGATGAAGCTGGATTTCAGTTTCCTTTAGAATAAATTTTGTATTTGCTCAATGAAGATTTTGTCTAATGACCAAGTGGATGCATTATCTCAATTCTCAACATCAAGACTGTTAATCGAACTGTCCGGGCATTGGTCGAAGGTAGCTTTGAGTATAGTTTTCTCCTCTTTTTTGTAAAAAAAAGAAAAAAATATGGCCCTAGAATTTGCCTAATGTCACTTGCTAACTGAACCTTTCTTGGCTAGAAAAAATTGAAACTTCTTTGTTGCTTTCTTAGTGACAGTGCTTGTTCACCTTTTTGTTAAACGCCTTCTTCTTAATTGTGGGGAAAATGTTCATAAGAAAAATGTACTAATATCTTTGAACTGAGATTCATGTCCCAGATCCTTGGCTTGGATGCAACCGCGCAAATCAGTTCTAATATCACAGTTCTCTTGATTTTATGTTTGGGATCACATTAACTTGACTGAACAGAGCGGCAAAAGCAATATGTTTTTTCAGTGAAGTGTGTTTTGTTTTCCTTTTTTTTTTTTTTGGCTGAGCAAATTCTATACGCTCCTTACCGAAGAATGGACAGTGAATTTCCAGACCTTTAGACTTCCAGGTATATCATCAAATTGTCAAAAAGGGTCTAAATACATGCACATTGTAAATCATATACAGTTCTCTGACTATGGACTTCTTTTTGCAACTCCAACGTCAATAACTTAAAGAAAAACTATGTACAAATGCACATGCAATGCTCTCAGCAACACCCAAATCCCACACTATCATGTACTAATCAACTGCACTAGCTATGCCACCTCCGCATTCTCCTTCGTATCAATGCTTGAACTGACCAAGAGAATTGTCCCGCAGATATAGATAAAGAAAAAGATCTTCCCTCGTGCATTTTTTTAATCACATATCCTTTACAATTTCCTCAACTAAATCTCCAATTATCAAACTTTCCACCTCTTTCCCTAGTAGATTCATCTCATCATCCAATAAACCAAGCCACGGAACTGATTTGAGATCCCGGGCCGTCATATTATCTAGCGAGTAATATGACCTGTCAATTGGAGGGTAAATAAAAACACGTATGATCTCCCAAACCGAGCTCAGCAATTCCCTTCCTCGCGGATGTAGCACTCGGAATGAACCAGCAGCTTTTCTTCTCGGTGGTCCTAGAACTGTTGAAAGTGCTTCATTTAACAAATCATGTAATAACTTGTGCTCTGTTCCTTTTTCGTTCTTGTCGTTCACTGGAGTGCCATATTCATTGACCAACTTCCCATGCGATTCCTCCACTTCTTCAAATACCAAGTCACTGATAGGCTTTGCAAATGTGTCTATTCTGGATAGATACACATTAGGTGATCCGTCGTACAAGCCAGAAGCAACAAGCAGATCTCTTATGTATTCTTCCATCTTGTCCTCTAACTCAACCATTTTACACTCGATAGGCTGCTCTTCAGTCGTCTCCAGAGGCTCATCAGATCCAAGCTGATTTAGTTGCCTCCTCAGCTCTGCACATTATCAGATGATGTGGTTAGGTAATATCAACATAATCCTGAAACTCTATCATGTTTTAGCAGCTTAAGCTTTTGGTCATTTCGGCTAGTCCAGGCAATATACAATCTAAGTTAATCACAAAAAGCAATGTTGCAAGCCGTAGGCTCATAGCTAACTTGTGAAGAAGCCTTTCAGCACCGTGTTTTCAGATACAGTGTAACTTTACCCTTGGCAAAAATTTCAAGAGTGCCATATATAGTTTCAGGAATACTGACTTCTTATCTTATTCGTTTTCAAACTTCTACACATTTGTCAGTTTATCTGAGTAAGGTAAATATATTCATCTCAATATCACTAAAGTAAATCACTTTGGGACGAAAGGCACCATGACTATTTGGGTTAGGTAGTTGAAGCTGCAATCTATCAAAAATGAAAGACTGACACTCCCAACAGCCCTGAGAGACCATCTTGCTCCTTCATATCATGCAGATTGATAAAAGAGGAAAAGCAAACAGCCTACAAGCTTTGGCTAAATAAACACCGAAAGGGTGAGTTGTGCCACTAGTTGAACATGATCACGCTATTGCAGCTGCCCATTTGTATAGCACATCCATGAACATAGAAGCTGGAAGATTGTTTCATACCATTCAGATTCAAACTGATTTCTCTGAAAACTTGTGGCACCACATCTTCTTCTCCAACACTCCTGTCTGGCGTTGACATAGGGCTAAGGTTGTTACTTGGTCTCCAAAACTCCTCTTGAGAACTGCTGCACACAGACGCAGGGCTAGGGGGCACTTCTGTAGAATTCTCCTAGGATGACACAAGAGAAGGCAAAAACATGTCAGTACAGTATAAGATAAGACAGAAGAAACTTCTAGCTCTAACTGTATGGAAACATTGTTTTCAACAGGCCAACCAAATTCTTACATGCCACTCGCCAAAGTTCATGATGACTGTAGGCCCACTCATAACATCTTTCATGAAGTCAGTCTCAAAGTTATATGATTCTGCTACGGATTGGACCCTTTTGCCAAACAGCCTCCGTCTCAGAGTGAACGTGTATCTGAAGTTATGGACCTTCTCTTTGAACTTGAGTTTTTCCTTTTTCACTTTCTTGGCATCTATTGGCACATTTTCGACAACTTCATGCTTTCTCCTGATATGAGCACCAGTCAAAATGTGGCGGTCTTCGAGGAGAAGTTTCCCAAAGGATGTTCCTGATACAGGAGCGGACAAGGATCTCACAAGGTTTCTTGGGGATAATTCCTTGTGGAGAACACGATCATCACCTGACCCATGTCTGAACGATCTGGCTAGCATTTGATGTTCGTCTTTTACATTTTCCCAATAGCAAGGTTCATTTATCATTCTCAAAGCATTGCCCGCGTGTTTTACGCTAGGCCTCTCATCGCCTAACATGGACGAACTGGAGCTGTCACTTGCTTCTCTGGGCAAATCCAAAAGACTATCACTCTTCAGGACATTCCTCAACCTCTCTGTCAAGAACTTCCTTGTATCTCGGTTAATAAATTCTGGGGAACCTGGTGGATTCAACTGAATTTCACTTCTATAAGATCTAGTTGATTCTGAACGGAGCAAATCCACCCCCAGGTCCCTAGTAACACTCTCTCTGACTTGTTTTGCTATGTTCTGTGCTATTTGCTTTGAATCAGATGGTCTTTCATTGAAAGGGGTCTCAATTCCACTTCCTCTGACCACGGAACTCCTTTTAACTGCCCTTCCTTGAATTTCACTTTTCAACCGTTCTTTCACCTCCCGAAGAAAATCTTCTATGCTGCCCCTTTCATCCGTTCCGGAGGAACTGGGCCATGATTCTTCATGCCAGAACCTATCAGGACCAGGCTTCAAGATTACTATCCTCGTAGGGCCAAGATAAGAGTCCAGGTTCTCACCAGAAATCACTGCACTACATTGTTCAATGTCCTTGTTTAGACTTTTGCTCATCAAAGAACAAGACTCATACTGCTTAGCCGGGACTAGTCCTGTTTTTCCACTGTGTAATGAATGGTCTCTTTCAATCGATTTTGCTTTCGCTATATCAGTTCTCCTGGGCTTCTCGATTATGGTTTTTTCATGATTTGCATGAAGTGATATCATTTTTAAGTTGCAGCTCTCTTGACCACCAGCCAACTGCCTAGGAACATTGTCAAGCTCAGCGAATTTTGTACATTCCCTGATCCTATTTGCTTGCCAAGCTTCAAATTCTTTCTTGAACTTCTGCAGTTCCTCCTCTTGTGGATGTTCTCGGCGCCTGGGTTTTGTTGACTTCTGGGCGCTTCTCCCTCTGTCAACATCCCTATCTGAATTATGAGAGGATGAGCTAAGCTCCACGTGCCTCGAAGAACCAGAGTTAGAAAAACTGTGAGACATCAAGCCCCTTCCCTTCCTCTCTTTTCTCGAAATGTTGGCTTTCATGCTCTCTTTTTTCTTCTCCGTTGATTGGGCTTGAGAATTGTTATCTAGTGGCAAGATATCCATCCCCATTAGCCGAGCCACGATGCTTGGTGAGTTTTGTCTGTTAAATGATCTGCTGGACATCTCCTCACTTATCAACTTCTTCATTGAAGCCTCAACTGGATGATGCTTCATCTTATACCGATCTTGTTCCATGCCATAAGAATACTGGAATTCAAAGCTACTGTATCAAAACATGGTTAGAGGACAAAGGGGATGCATATGTCAAGGGAGTGAAAAATTGCCCGTAGGGCATATATAGCAGTCATCTCACTGAAGTATGACTAAGCTACCTTGTGAATTTTCCAGGGCAAGAACCTTAAAGAAATCAAAGATCGTCAAGAGTTTGATCAAATAGGGAGTGAATAAAACACCACTGTTGACTCAGGATACAGAGAGAGGTATTGAAGACAATGGTGAGGCTAATATTCTTCACTACTATAGAACGCAGCTTAAGATGATCACCGACCTTCAGCAATTAAGCCACCAAAATTATTGAAGCCTTGAGGACATCTATAAGAGGTTCATGAGAATCCCAAGCAAAAGCTCATGTAGTAAATAAAGCCAGTCGAGTGAGTCAAAATTTTTTAATAGACATACCAAAAGAAAAGTCGAAACTGGTAGACCACCTTCCTAATCAATGTTTGGCCAAATAAAGAACTTCCTAATCAATGAAAAACAGGATTCATTGACATGTCAACACGTCACAGTGACAGCAAGATTTTGTAATAAGTTCAATACCGGCATATCGCCTATAGCACAACAGCCCTCAGAAGCTTCTGCTTGCAGCTCTAAACTATTCCTGGGTGCTTCATGACCTGCAAAATGGTTCAATTCAGAAGAATTAGTTCCCAAAAAGAAAAAAAAAATTTGTAGAACTAATTCGTTACTTCAATTGATATCTACCCTTCATCAGGACCAACAGGACACAGCTCACTCAAGATAACGTTCTCATGAAGTCCAAAACTGCAATAAGGGCTAATGACCAAAGTTCTCGTGTAAATAGTGGGAGCCC